CACGAGAAGAAAGAAGTCTCCGATGAGCCAGTTCTCCTGGGTTAGCACTTTTAAATCCCCCTCAGCATCCTCATCCACATCTCCACGGGCGCATTGGCAGACATTTCCACTCATTGTTTCCAATATCTTTCCTCATTGATCTAGTTTAAACAAAAGCCCATTCTGACTCCTCTTCACAAAGCCACAGCATTGTGAGTCCTAATTATTCCCGGTCTCTCTCATTATACTAATTATTCTTTCTTATCATTATTAACTATGGTTGCTTTAGAACATCGCCCAGAACCAATGAGGATGGCAGATGCCTGGAGTTTGTCACTTTGCTTCCAAACCGTCAAGCTAAGTATTCAGGATGTGGTGTCAGCTGATCTTGCACTTGCTTCCTGGAGCCGATGGCGCCGTCTGGCCCGGAGGCCCAGGTGTTCTCGGGCACCTGTCATCGCCCAGCATCTTGGACCCGCAGTGCGTCCTACATCCCAGCTGGACCTCCGACCCCCCCCCCCCCCCCCCCGAACATCTCCTCCGTGTCCTCCGGAATTCTGTTAGCAGAGCACACATTCCGGTCTCAACCTCTTCTCTAAACATGTCTTTCCTTTCTTGCTTTAGCTCAAACCCAGAGGCTCCCCTAGACTTCTGGTGAGCCTCCCCAAGTTTGTAGGTCGCTTTTCTCTCTCACCTCATGTACCTCACGCTCCCCTTTGCCATTTCCAAAAGGACTTTCCCTTTCAAAACAATCCCCAGGTCTTTCCCGTGGAGCCCTTAAATTACAGAACCAGCTGTTGCTCTGCACATGGCCGCTTCCACCCCCTCCCCCCGCCCCCCGCCCCCCGTCACCAGCCTCTGTACCTAACTAGTGTCACCACCTTCATTTCCACCCGCTCTCAGCATCCTCGGTGGGGCCAACATTTGTACAGGTAACTCATCTGACCCTTTGGCTTCTCCATCCCTTGCCCTCTCCCATACCCAGGATTTCCCCCTCCTCCTCACACCTTCCCATGACTTTGCTGCTGGCAGTGACTGCACGACCTTACATCTGAATGTGAAGCCTCCCAATGTCAAGGTTCCCTCTCTGCTCCAACGCCTCCACGCGCACCTCTCAGCCGGGGAGCCCTCCAGTCCAACCCTGTCCCACCAAACGCAGTGCCAGCCACTTAGGGCATCCACAGTTTTCTATTAGTCACAGTAAGAAATGCAATATAAACAGTTAAAATTAACTTTACTAATATTTTTATTTAACCTAATAGGTCCAAAATTTTATCATTGTAATTAATGTAAAAATCATTAATGAGATATTTTACCTTTTTTTTTTCCACTCTCTCTTTGAAATCCTTATGCTTATAGCACTTCTCAGACCCGCCACACCCCACGTGCCCAGTAGCCTTTCGTGGCGGGCGCTGCCATGGTGGGCAGAGCAGCTTAGTCCACGAGCTCACGAGGCTTTCAGCCTCCTGTACGTCCTCCCAATCTGCCTTCTCCAACGCAGATCACCCGTCACACCACTCTCCCCAGCTGCCCTCCGCTCTCCTTTCATCTGCTCACCCAGAAAACACTCAGTGTTGGTTGGGCCACACCGCCAGCGTGTCCGGGCGACGGGCTGCTCCAGGAGAACAGCACGCGGGCGGCCTGCTTCACTCCCGCCTCGACCGCACACCTCCAGCGGCGCTCCCCCGGGCCCCTCACAGGCCCCGCCTTCAATCTGCGGACTTCTCTCTGAGACCCTCTCAGATGCCCCCGCCTCTCCCCAGCCCCTTCCCCCGCCCTCCTCTCTGCCGCCGTGGGTGGCAGCTTCGTTAGTCACTGGTCGTCGTCACAGATGCGATTTGTCCAAAACGGAGCCCCACGCTCCCCAGCCAGTTCAGTTCCGTTCCGTTCAGGGGACGGTGCCATCACTGAGCCCAAAACCTAGGAGTTGGTTTTAACTCTCCTCACTTATCCTTCACCACTACATCCCCTGGTCCAAAGGAACCCCAGCCGGCCGCTCCCCGGAGCCGGCCGCCACGCCTCGGGCCCGGCCCCGTCGTCTCCTGCCCAGGCTCCGGTGACAGCGCTGGCCTTCCTTGTTTCCATCCTGCCACCGCCCAGGCCATTTTCTCCTCAGCAGCCAGAGCATTTCCTAAACACATAAATCAGAGCCTGTCACTCCCTTTTTACAGGTCCTCGTTTCCATGGCTACACAGGCCCTGCATGATGGCCCTTGCTCACATCGCCAACGCCATCCTGCACTGCTTGTCGCCCGTGCCGCATGCTGCTGTCACGCGGGCTTGTCTCTTGTTTCTGGAACACACCGAGCTCCTCCTCGCCTCCTGGCTTGGGCATTGCTATTCCCTCTCCGGGACACACCTCCCCAGCGTTCCTCAGGACTGGTCCTTCCCCTTCTGGGTTTAGAGGCGTCTCACTTAGAACCCCACGGAGGCGCTCCTGCCCTCCCCATCGTGTCTCCCTCATCAGGTCTTTGTGTTTTCCCTTCACGGCACTTAGTGACTGGCTTTGCCTGTTTATGTCCTGGTGGACTTTGTCATCTGAATGTTCCCTGGAAACCAGCTCCATGATGGGAAGGGTGCCGTCTAGTTCCCGACTGAATTCCCTGAGCCTGGCTCCCCGCGTATTCATGGGACAAACGGACGAACTAGTCAAGGAACAGGGTGTGCCGATACTTCAGGGCCCCCCTCATTACTGTGAAATGCACAGACTCACAAGAGTGACCTTACCAGCCCCAGCAAGGTCATTAGCCTCTGATCTGGGCCACTGAGATCGACAAAGCACCCCTCTCTCCCTGCCTTAATAGAGATTGTGAGGTCGGAGAGAGCCCAGGATCGGATACATGTGATGAGACAATGGACTTCCCCTGGAATTTCTCACAGATCAGTGGGCCAGACACAGATACTGGCTTCTCCACGACCCCCACACAGATATTGACTCCTTCCTGAATACCTGGCTGACCCCTGAAGCTGAAACTTCCTCAACTGAATACCTCAGCTCATGTCCCCGCCCCTCACCCAACTGCAGTATAAAAAAAGCGCCCCTCTCCCTGCTGGTGTGAATCCACGTGCCCTGTCTTTGGGGTACGTGGGTCTCCCGGGGACGCAGAAATAAACCTTTTCCTTTCCTTTCTTTTCTGATTCACTGGACTCTCTATTTCTTGCGCCGCCTCCTGAGCCACCTAACCTAACAGAGATAATGTCTACAAACACTCTGGGTGGTGAAGCTCTTTAAATGTGGTCACACAGCAAGTCTAAATACACTGTTCCCCACAGGGCTGGGTCCGCGGAGTGTGTAACCCCGAGAGGCAGACGGGGAGCCTCAGGGCTACATCGGCTCCAGAGCTCTCGGGATGCGCATCATGCAGGCTGTACAAATAGGCTGCGACCTAGCAGGTTCTGGAAATGTTCCATCTATTTGCTTAGAAGTCCTGCTGGCTTCTGTGTGGAGGACGGGCTGGAAGGAGGGAAAAGGGGCCCGGGCATTGTTCTAGTCTTTCATTTGCAAGGGACAGAAATTTAACTCAAATTGGTTTCAACAGTAAAAAGCGCATTGACCCATGCGGCTGAGGAGGCTGGTGTTTGGCTTCAGGTATGAGGACCCAGCGCCTCAAAACCACCGTTAACCAGGAGGTGGGGCTGAGTTACCTCCTGGCTCCTGAGCTTGGGCCGGACTTCATGACTTGCTTCCAAGGAACGGAGTCTGGAGAGGGAAAGAACACTCTTAGCGGAGAGCCTGCAACCAGTGACAAGTCCTTTTCATAAGATGTCCCTCCTGCCGTGATGTGCCAGGAGGGCGCTCATTTCTGGGGCACCCCCCCCCCCCAGCCCTTAGCTCCGGTCTGATGATGAGAGAAACATCAGGCAGACCCTAACAAAGGCATATTCCTCGAACTATCTTGACCAGCACTCTGCAAAAGACTCAATGTCCCGCCTGGCCAGCGTGGCTCAGTGGTTGAACATCGACCTGTGAACCAGGAGGTCACAGTTCGATTCCTGGTCGGGGCACATGCCCGGGTTGTGTGCTCCATCCCCAGTGTGGGGTGTGCCGGAGGCAGCCGACCCATGGTTCTCTCTCATCATTGATGTTTCTCTCTCCCTCTCCCTTCCTCTCTGAATCAATAAAAATATATTAAAAAGAAAAGACTCAATGCCTAAAACACAAGGCAAGACTGAGACAAGGTCACGGACTAGAGGTACCTAAGGACACGTGACAACTAAATGCAACGTGGTCTCCTGGGTTGGAACCAGGAACTGAAAATGCTGCTGGTGGAGAAGCCAGTGGGCTATGACCGAGCCTGGCCCGAGTGGAGGGCGCCAGCGCTGGCCTCCTAGCTGCGATACTGTGCCCCACGACGAAGATATGCATACTGGGGGACACGGGGAGAGGGGTGTGGGAGCTCCCTTTGCAAATTTTCTATAAATATACAACGGTCCCCAAGTTAAAAGTTTATTAAATCCTTGGTGTTTATCCAAAGGGGTTGAAAACATGTCCACATAGAAACCTGCACAGGGATGCTTATTACAGCTCCATTCACAGTTGCCGAACTTGGAAGCAGCCAAGATGTCCCTCAGTAGGTGATGGGTGAATAAATGTGGTCCATCCAGACAGTGGAATATTATCAGCGTTAAAAGAAATGAGCCGGCAGGCATGAGAAGACACGAGGGGCCTTAGATGCATCTAAGTGACAGAAACCAATCTGCAAAGGCTACACACTGCGTGATTCCAACTGTCTGACGTCCTGGAAAAGGAAAATTATCCACAGTAAAGGGTAGTGGCTGTCGGAGTTGCGGGGAGGGCGGGGCGAACAGGCGGCACGCAGAGGATTTAGGGCAGTGGAACTATGACGCTCTCATGGGATACATGTCAACGTACATTTGTCCAGACCAGAGTGTGCACCACCACCAGCGAGCCTGATGTCAGTGTGGACTTTGGTGATGATAATGTGTCAGTGTAGGTTCCTCTGTTGTCACCAATGCACCAGCTGGTGCGGGCATGGACAGTGGGGCAAGGACAGTGAGGGCATGGACAGTGAGGGCATGGACAGTGAGGGCATGGGCAGTGAGGGCATAGACAGTAGGGGCAAGGACAGTGAGGGCAAGGAGAGTGAGGGCATGGACAGTGAGGGCATGGACAGTGAGGGCATGGACAGTGAGGGCAAGGAGAGTGAGGGCAAGGAGAATGAGGGCATGGACAGTGAGGGCATGGACAGTGAGGGCAAGGAGAGTGAGGGCAAGGAGAGTGAGGGCAAGGAGAGTGAGGGCATGGACAGCAGGGGCAAGGACAGTGAGGGCAAGGACAGTGAGGGCAAGGACAGTGGGGACATGGACAGTGGGGGCATGGACAGTGGGGGCATGGACAGTGGGGGCATGGACAGTGGGGGCAAGGACAGTGGGCACATGGACAGTGGGGGCATGGACAGTGGGGGCATGGACAGTGGGGGCAAGGACAGTGGGGACATGGACAGTGGGGGCATGGACAGTGGGGGCATGGACAGTGGGGGCATGGATAGTGAAGGCAAGGACAGTGAGGGCATGGGCAGTGGGGGTATGGACAGTGGGGGCATGGGCAGTGGGGGTATGGACAGTGGGGGCATGGGCAGTGGGGGTATGGACAGTGGGGGCATGGGCAGTGGGGGTATGGACAGAGGGGGCATGGGCAGTGGGGGTATGGACAGTGGGGGCATGGGCAGTGGGGGCACGGGCAGTGGGGGCATGGGCAGTGGGGGTATGGACAAAGGGGGCATGGGCAGTGGGGGTATGGACAGAGGGGGCATGGACAGTGGGGACATGGACAGTGGGGGCATGGGCAGTGGGGGTATGGACAGAGGGGGCATGGGCAGTGGGGGTATGGACAGAGGTGGCATGGGCAGTGGGGGTATGGACAGTGGGGGCATGGACAGTGGGGGCATAGACAGTGGGGGCATGGGCAGTGAGGGCATAGACAGTGAGGGCATAGACAGTGATGGCATAGATAGAGGGGGCATGGACAATGGGGCATGGACAGTGGGGGCATGGACAATGGGGCATGGACAGTGGGGGTATGGACAGAGGGGTCATGGACAGTGAGGGCATAGACAGTGGGGGCATGGGCAGTGAGGGCATAAACAGTGAGGACATAGACAGTGATGGCATAGATAGAGGGGGCATGGACAATGGGGCATGGACAGTGGGGGCATGGACAATGGGGCATGGACAGTGGGGGCATGGGCAGTGGGGGCATGGGCAGTAGGGTCATGGGCAGTGGGGGCATGGATAGTTCTGGGGCAGCACCTGTGAGAGGCTAGAGAAGAGGAAAGGGTGGAGGAAGAACGTGAACCACGATGGAGAGGCCTTGGCTGGTCCAGGGGGATTCATAACTGGGATGGCCCCTCAGACACGTCCTCATTAAGGTGAGGCCCTGGTAACCCCACACCAGCCAGTCATCGCCTGAAGCTGTCCCCCGGGAGGGTGGCAGGTTCCCTGGCTGAGGGCAGCGCCTGGGGGAGGAGCCAGCTGTGAGCTGGTGCAGCCAGCATTCCGCTGGGGAGGGAAGTCATACAAGGACTGTCTGGCAGCCCAGGTGCTGCCCGCTACCCGCCCCGGAGCGGCCTCCAGCGGTATCTGCTGTGCATCACCATTGGCGTGTGTCCATCTCTCCTCTCAGATTATCAGGCCCTGGGGGCAGGGACAAGGGTTTTCCCACTTTTGTGTCCCCCTTAATGTCTGACACAATCATGTGTTTAGCAAATGGCATTTGAATTTCCGTTAGCAGGAAAGAACTGTAGCTAAGAATTGCCTTTGTTTGGGACATTCTCCAGGTGGATTCTATAAAAGGTGAATGAAGAGCCTTTGGGTCGGAGAGGGGAGGCCATCATCAGGCTCCCAGGAAAGCAGGCGTGGGAATGAGCAAGCGAACCCCTCCTAAGGGGTGAGTTTCGCACTCTTGGCCTTGGACGCCTCCCTCGACGTGAAAGGCGGCCACGAGCGAGCGCCGAGTGCTGGTCGGAGCGCGGCACGCGTGCCCCGGAGGGAGTGAGATCACAAGATGGACATTTGCTGGCGACTCAGTGTGTGTAGCTGCCTTCTTCCAGACACATTCCCAGCGTATACAGCTGGAGGAAGGCGCCAGAAAGAAGAGGAATAATTGAGAAAAATAACAGGTTTCAAATTTGAGTTCAACCCTGGTTAGTAAACAATGTGATGCCTTTCTAACGGATGAGTAATTGAACAGAACAAGACAGGGGACAAGGACTATCCGTTTGGGGGTGAACCGTTTCAGGCCTGTTCTGGCGCCAGACTCCCCACCCCCGGGAAGGCTTCTGTCTCTCACTCCTCCTTCTTGGCTTCGTGGTGTTGGTTTTACCAGCCCGATCCCAGCTGCATGAGGACGGTGGGAGGTGGCAGGGCCGTGGAGAAGGGGTCTCGTGGGCTCAGTATGGGGGAGCAGCTGGGTGGGGGAGCAGCTGGATGGGGGAGCAGCTGGATGGGGGAGCAGCTGGATGGGGGAGCAGCTAGATGGGGGACAGGTGGACAGTGGACAGTGGACAGACCACATGGCGGAGCACAGGGGCGGTGGGAGGGAGGCGGGTGGACAATCTGGCAACTGGGCTTGACACGGAATTACCTGTTGGCTGCAGTGACCGTGTGGGTGGCATCTTCTTCCCGTTTGCTTCGTTTTCCTGTGAGCTCCTCGGGACAGAGCCAAGCGTGTGTGTCTGTCCTCCTTGCCCGTCTGAGGGCGGCCACACAGCGGGTGCCGGACGAGTCTCACGCTGTGTGGGAGCCACGGCGGCCGTGGGAGTGGGGAGTTCTGTGTCTGTGGCCTGAGAAGAGAGGTTTCTTTGGATCCTTCCTCGTGTGCGTGGAGGGTGAGCCCCTGCCCCCCTGCCCCAGATTCCGTGGAGGTCCACCCTTGAACCACTTTGCTCCAGAAATCCATGCCAAGGGGAGGGAGGAGGCTGGGCAGCGTGGACTGGCTGGCGGAGTCGGTGCGAGCTGGTGGGAGCCCAGGACCCTCCTCTACTTCGTCAGGGGCGGCCTGGCCCTCAGGTCATGTGCAGGGTGGGGCCACTCCGGCTTAAACAGTTCTAGCGAACTTTATGCCCCCTGGGCTCATGGAAATAGGAATCGCCATGGGACAGGCCTGGCTCAGAGGGACACAGGTTCAAGCAAACTTGTACAGATCGAACAACCATTTTTATGTAGAAAAAGGTCCACCTCCTCTCCTGCCTGCTCTCCAGCCGCCCCGCCACTTCCACGCAACCCATGTCCCGCGAGCAGTGGCACGGAAGCCGTCAGGAGCGACGAGAAGCAAGACCACTGGGGACCCTCCCTGTGGAGGCTCCTCCGCCCTCTGAGAGCTGTCACCGGGCCAGGCCCTGGCCGAGCGGCGCTGCGGGGGCTGGCTGGTCTGGCCGAGGCCGCCCAGGCTTCCCCTCCTGCCCCTCAGCCCGGCACTTGCATACATGGCTTTTGCCCTTCCCCAGTCTCCCCTGAGGTTTTGATGAGTTTCTTATCAAACTGAATGGCTATTTAGATAACACAGGCCTTCCCTTGTGCCACGTCAAGGAGTGCTCCTCCCACTCCATTTGCCTTTTCATCAGAGAATGCCAAAGGGAAGGGAAGGCGTTTAGCACATTCAATTCCCAGGGGTCAGAAGCAAAAAGACAAGGGTGGCGAAGTGCTCAGAAAGCGTTCCCGCAGGTTGGATGGAAAGGACGCTTAGAACACACCTTCCCAGCTCCGGGGGGACCCCCGTCGGCAGAACTCTCCATTTAGGTGACGGGGAGAGAGGTGTATTGGCAATGCGGTGAAGATCAGGGGCAGGGTAGCCCCAGACATGCTGGATTCAGGGGCTCAGGCCAGGCCATCGGGACTTATCTCCTCTCTGCGATTGTCCAGGTCGGTTTCATTCTCAGGCAATGGATGGTGAGGATGACCCCCCCCCACCCCCCCCCCCAGCCCCAGGTCTGGGGCCCCAGGCTCACACACCCTGGATCCCGGGGCCAACTGCCCATCCAGAGCCATCCTTTGCGGCAGGACACGGCCGTGCTGCCCAGCCTGCTCCCGTGCGTCTGAGCCGGAGGGCTGTGCAGCACCACGTCCGCCTCAGGGCTCACAGGCTCATGGGGAGAGGGGCCAGGGAGGGAAGGTGGCTTCACTAAAGCAAACCACAGTGCTTTGGTCAAAACAGGCGCAGGATGCTGGGCAGAAAAACTCGTGCGTCCCCACATTTCTTCCCCTCCGACAAGACCGGGATCGCTGCGTCACATCCAGGTTGGCCCAGGTGGGCGGCCGGCCAGAGACCTGGCTGCCATGCGTTTGTGGCCACCCAGCAGCCTCTGTCCTTCCGCCTCCTTTCTGGAGACGATCCTGGGGTGTGGGAAGGGTGGGCTCCTTCTCAGAAGAGGCTTTTGGTCGCCTGCTTCCACTGTGTCCCCGGCTTTCGCTGCCCCCCAGGGCCATGCCGGCTCAGAGGGTGGCTTTGGAACAGGTGTCGCTCAGCTGGGGACTCCAGTCTGCACTGCACCTTCCCACTCAGTCCTGGCCTCATTTAAACAGGCCCCCTCTTATAGGAGAGACAAGAGGCAGGTCGTGCCCACGCCTGGAGGGTAATGCGATTGGATCTGGGAGGGTGTGGGCCCCCGGACCCTCTGACAGCAGGATGGAGCTGAGGTGGAGCTGAGGAAGGAGACCAGAGGAGCGATGTCCACCCAGTGGCCATGGAGGCTCTGAGGGCCGTTTGTGCAGGGGCAGGGGCGGGGCAGGGGCAGGGGCAGGGGCAGGGGCAGGGGCAGGGGCGGGGCAGGGGCAGGGGCAGGGGCGGGGCAGGGGCAGGGGCGGGGGCGGGGCAGGGGCAGGGGCGGGGGCGGGGCAGGGGCAGGGGCGGGGGCGGGGCAGGGGCGGGGCAGGGGCGGGGCAGGGACAGGGGCTGCTGCTGGCCTGTGCCCACATGGGGTGGTTCTGGAGACTGGCCAGCGCAGTGCGATGTCCCTGCTGGGCCAGTGCCTAACTCCGGGCACCTGCTTCTCCACATGCTGACGAGGAGGCGCGGGCTCAGGCTGGAGGGATGCTGGGGGGTCTTCTTTTGTCCCCACCACCCAGTCACGCTCCTTTTGGGGTGTCATCAGCCCCACCAAAGCCACATGGACCGAGGGGCTAAGAGCGGGGAATGGTTTTATTCAAAGAAGGGAGGAGGGTTGGGGAGAGATGCGATGACCACGGTCTGGGCACGGGGCTCTCTGACGACAGATGGCCTGTGAGGTGACAGCGGCGCGGCGAAGAGACCGGCTCTAACTGCCGGAGCCGGCCAGGGCCAAGGGTCCACAGCTGCATCCGGTGGCGCGTGCTTTGGCTCAGCCGGTGGGTAAGGGGCTGGCACAGTGCGGGCATCGGTGTTTCTCCCAGGCTGGCTGCTGTGGGGCCCGAATCCATGGGGCCCTGCACCGTGCGGGGCTCTCTCTGGATGCGCCGTGAGGCAGGACCCCCTCTCCCAAGTTCAGTGGAAGAGAAGGGGAGGGAGCGAGAGGGGCCCGTGCCCACCCATCTCAGGAACCCACCCAGACCGACGGAGAAGCCCCTCAGAGCCTCTTCTGGAACCAGGCGGGGGCCTCCAAAGACCCAGACCTGCCTCCCTCGGGGGGGCCCTGGCCTTTGGGAGGGGCAGGCGGGGCAGGCTTTTCCTGTAAAGAGCCAGATGGTGAAGATGGAAGGCTAAATGGTCTCCACCCAACTCTGCCCAGCTGCAAGCTGCCAGGGGCGGTGTGCAAGTGAGCGGGGTGACCGGGTAGCAGTGCAGCTCACTTACCAAAGCAGCTTCTGGCAGGGGCAGGCTTCCTTTGCCTCAGGGGCACGGGGGTGGGGGGGTGGGGGGGAGGGCAGACTGACTGCTGGCCCCAGGCGAGACTGCAGGAGGTGGGGTCTCACCTCGGGACCTCCCCCCCAACTTCTTCCTGACAGCAGACTTCCCCCACCTTCTCCTTGCCCCTCCCCCCCCCCAGCTGATTGGAACTCGCAGCCTTGCCTGCCCCCCTCCTCACACTCCCATTTGTTTTCTCCGCTGAGTTGCTCTCCAGGGCAGGTGCCAC